ATTATTATTATTATTATTATTATTATTATAAGGAAGAGGGAAGTTTGACATGGTGGGTAACTTTGCTGTGTCTCTATGGGAAAGAATGAAACATTCTTAGCATAGTGACGAGCACATAGTCAGTGCTTAGTAAATTTTGGCCATTGCTATTACTATTAGCCTTCTCAACAAGGGCAAAGACTAGGATGAGGCAAGTGAGGTGAACGAGGCATCTAGGACACAAAATCTAAGGGGCCACTCACTCTTGGGTTGTACAAATGCCAATCCTATACCTGTAGGAGACTGAGTATTTCCTTGAGAGAAAGGGCCTCTTTTCGGCAAGCAAAGAAAAAAAAAGTTCAGAAACTTTATTTGTAATATTTTCTATCTCTTTAAGGTTCATTTTGTCGAAGCGTCCCCATGTTTTGCCAAGAATTGCATTTTATCATCATTTAGTTTCAAACATCATTAAGGACATTTACCTCAGGGTAGAAATTTGAACTGACAGCTGCCAAAGGCTATTTTAATTATTCCTCTCGCTTTGGATTTAATGTGAGGCTACCATTTAAAATGAATATTTAGTTGGTCTTTGATAGGAAAATAGATATCTTGCCTTGCTAATTCAAAGTTAAACATCCAGTGTTTGACTAAAATCCATAACTTACTCAATTAACAAAGATCCTTAGATTTCTCTATTGTCCTACGATTTAACTACAACCTGACAACTTTTCCAGAACCAAACTGGAAATGTTCAGGGATGCTGTGAATGAGAGAAATCAGTATTCTTTAGCACTAGCTGTTAGCAGGTAATACAGTGTTGTTAGTTAATGTCAATATACACAAGAATTTTCCATATAGACAATACCATCTCAGGTGATAGTTGCCTGAATCAAGCTGTTGCATTTCAAAACAGTATTGTCTGTTCAGTGAGAGTCTATACATTATTCTCTATTTATTACAGGGCAAATTTACATGTAGCAAAAAATCGTGAGCAAATTCACAAGTAATCTTTGTTTTTATACTTTAAACTCATAGGCATATATAAAACTGTACCTGGAATGCCCAATTTTCTTTTATTTAATAGTAATACTTTATGTAGACTTTCATGAATAAAATAAATTAGAATTAATAGCACTTAGGTTCTGGATTATTGTAAAATGGTTAATAATTCTTTATGTATAAGTTTCTTATCCATCAAAATTACTCCAAAAATTCCATCCCTGTTTCAGCTATCATCTGAAATCTTTAAGGTGCATGACATAGAAATTGAACACTAGCCTCCTTTGCCAGAGAGGTAAGTTTAAATTGATGTCACTTTTCTGACACAAACACTAGAATTTTTGAAAATATGTTTTACTCGTCTCTTATAGCAATATACAGAAGAGAATATTGGCTTAGTTAAAATGAAATGGTTTTATTACGATAGTTTATATTTTATCAGGCTACTACTACTGCAAACTATCAAACTACTACACTAAAATGTATCATTGTTATATTAAGTAAAAAGAGTTACAAACCTAAGAGAAAGAAAAGAAATACCCAAGACAGAACTTTTCAAAACACCATTATATTCCATATAGAAGATTTAATTTCTAAACCAGTTTAGCATGTATTAAAACTAAATCTTGTTTTGCATTTAATGGCTACATTCATATGAATTCACATGTGAAAGTTTCTATCCATGGTATTTATTAGTCATTATTCATATGTTTTTTTGAGAAACTATGTGTCTTATTTTTCAAACAGAATTCTAAGAGGGCTTTTTATTTGTCTGCTGAATTAGGAACTTTACATGACTTTCTTTAGAGTGGAAGGAAGCCAGTGGTTAGTTTAAGAATGATCAACTTTTTACTTCTTAGTTCTGTATCATTTCAGGAAATACATGCCGCTTTCCTTATATGGGATTCTTAACACAGAATGACAGTGGAAGGGCTCAGAAATGAAGCTAACAGGAAATAAAAGACCAGCATGACATTGCAATTTGCCTAGGCCAGTCAAATCATGTTTAGCTCTATAATCCACTTGGATGTTATTTGCATGTTTTATGTAAAGTTGGGGTCAAATTAAGTATATTGTTCCTCTTTTGTCTCAGAAGCATTTTCCTCTGGTCCCTTCATGTTCTCACTGTACTGTCATGTCTGTCGGGTATCTGAGGTTCTGTTTTCTAGATGCTATGGATTTCTGTATGTCTGAACAGTTCTGAACAAAGATCACATGACCTGAATTACAAGGTTTTTAATGTAAGTCTTGCTGTCTGGTAGGTCAAGTCCTCGCCTGTTCTCTTGATTTGTCTTGACTAATTTGGTCCTTAGCATTTCCATTTGAAATTTAGGATCAGGTTATATGTAGACTGTCTTGGATTTTGAATATAGACAATCATTTTGATTGCAAATAAGGACAGTTTTTGTCTCTTTCCACTCCTTATATATGTCGTTTATTGTCTTACCTTACTAAAATAACTAGGTCATCCAGGACTACATTGAATAGTAATAGTGAGGTTCTTTTTATTCCTGACATTAAATAAAATGCTTCCTTTGGTTCTCCATGTCTGATGTTTGCTCTAACTTTTTTGTAGAGCTCTAATAGGTTTAGGGAGTTTTCCTCTATTCCCAGTTTGCTAAGCATTTTTTTAAGAGTTTTGATCACAAATGAATGATTAACTTTATGGGTTTTTTAAAAAAATCATTTATGTGCATCTACTGAGATCATATGATTTATGGTTTTTCTCTTTTAATCTATTAATGTAGTATATTATATAGATACGTGTTTTGGTGTTGAAACATCTTGCATTTGTGGGATAAACCCTATCTTGTCATTACATTTTATTTCTTTTTATACACTACTAAAATTGAATAGCTAATAAGTTATTTAGGATGTTTATATCTATGTTTATAAGTAAGATTAGTTTATAACTTTCCTCTTTTAATATCTTTGATCTTTTTCCATTTTTCTATTATCTGAAACTACTTATAAGAGACAAGGATTACCTTTCCCTTGAAGATTAACTAAAATTCACCTGTAAAACCACCTGGGCCTGGTGTCTCTCATGGGTGTAACTAATTACCAATTCAGTTTCCTTATTGGTTATTGTTAAATGCAGGCTTTCAGTTTCTTTTTGATTTGATTGTGTCAGTTTATATCTCTCTCAAAATTTTCCCGTTTAAGGATTTAGATTTAGTGACATAAAATTATTTGTAGTGTTAGCTTATGATTTTTAATGACCTGCTTTATTTGCTGTTGTGACCTTTTTTATATGTAATATTAATTATTTGTGACTTTTCACATATTGTTCTCTTTATCAGTTTTACTAGAGATTTGCAATTTGACCCTTTAAAAAAATTTATAGAAATATCCTACTTTCAGGCAGGATGTCCCTCCAGTCTCCATCTTGTGTGCAGGATTTTATTCTCCTTTATTCTGAAGGAGCTAAACTCCTGGCTGGCCACCACCTCTCTCAGAATTTGGAATATTGCTCACTGCATTTTGTTCCTGTTCATTTTGGCCCAAAGTTTATCTTCCTTTTAATCCTAACTATAGATTTCCTTTTTATATTTAGTTTTTAATTTTTTTTGTGCTTGCAGCAGGATACGTTTATCAAAGAACATGATCTTGAGGATTTGAGTCCAACCAAATCACAAAGCTGAACTGTCTCCTCTACTAAGCTGGGAACTCTCTTTCTCCCTTCCTCTCTTCCCTTTTCTCCTCTCTTTTCTTTTTCACCTCTTACTATGTGTCAAACACTGTATTGGTACTTTACACACAATATTTTCCTTACCATTTTACAGGTGAGGAGACTAAAGCTAGGACCAGGTGAGTGCCCAAGACCATTCATGTAGTAAGTGGCAGGAGTGACTCCAAAACCACACATTCCCTTCACCATTGACATGCTCTGCCCTTGAACTTGTTCCTCATTGCATCCCTTCATAGGGCGTGGGATATGTTTTACCTTCCTCCTTTTAGTCCATCATCCTCACAAAATAAAGGCGTTAATAAAGCGAGATTATTATAACAGAGATATAATGCTAAATGCAATAAGAGGGGAGAATATATTCTCCTAAACACTATCTTCTATACATATCTTTAGCCCTTATTGTAAATTTCCTTAACTATTTTCATTGGCCATAGAAATATTTACCTAGAATTCTTCATGTTAGTTTTTATGCAAAAGCTTTATAAAATATAGAAAGGACTTTTAGAATCAGTAAATATTTCCAGCTACATTTACATTTACTTATTTTTCTTGTTATAAAAATGTGCACATATACTCTGAAAAACAAAAATCTTCAAGTTTGGGATTTTGTAGCTGTAACAATCAAGAAACCAGACTTTACTCCATAGAAAATATAATTATACAAGTGACTACAGGACTGTAATGGCAAATACAGCTTCATTAATAAGTTACAACTGTTGAAAGCGTGGTCTAGAAGATAAGCATTTGTCAGATGTTCATGGGCCTGTGCCAAATCTCAGATTTAAAGTTATATTTACAGAGAAATATAGATAACTATCAACCAATGCTAAGAATTTTTAAATATCTTCTTTACTGAGTGAAATGCAATATAAAATAGCGTGATTTTGCAAATTAGCAACGAACAACTCTTTTATTTTCACACAGAATTCAGGAGGTAGGCACTGATAGATAGTTATGTGGCATTTGATCAAATGAGAAATGGTTATATGTTTAATTTTTTAATGTTAACCATAATTGACATATATGAATCTATATAGACATGTTTATAAGAAAAAATATATAATTTCATTATTGTGGAAACATCGACCTATGACAACAAAAATCAATTTAAAATGTTTTCTAAATAGAAACTGCAACTAAGAATGATACTTTCCCCACTCTGAAGAATTTTTTTGGTCTTTTGAGGTTTAAAGCAAATAAATCAGGTACTATAACAATTGTGCTTTTTATTTGCCAGATAAAAATTTCCCCTTTATTATGATTATGTAAACGTTTTATTTTTTTCAGAATGAAACTTACTACTTTACTATTTTATTTACTATTTTTTGTGCAGTCAATATTTCCCACTTTTTATTTATAAGTTCAATATTTTTAAGGAACTTGAAAACAATCTCATTGTTCTGACGAGCACTTCATTTAGTCTCCCAAATTTGAACTCCCTGTATGCATATTTCTCCCCCAAAGGAATTTAGGACTGTAAATCTTGGAATTTTCATTAGTTTAGTCTAGTGAATTCTTCTCTCTACTGAGATCATTTCCTCACATATTGATATGTATGGCATGTACCACATTTCACTTGGACAATGACTGGACTGGCTAGTGGGAGTGGGAGAGAACAGAGAATGATTAGAGTAACTCTCTGTTTCTAACAAAGAGTACCACCTGCACACCACAACATCCAGACATGGAAAACCCAGGTCCTGATAAATGGATTTGTTAGGAATCACCTTCACATTCACTTCCTGGATCCTCAGGGTATCTAGATAGGCAACTCGACAGTTATTTCCAGTCATCCTCTCCACAGATAGACACCATGAATGCATGAACTTGAAATATGAGCGTGGCAATCTAGCTTTTTATGATTCTTTGATCTTTCTTGTGATGCGATTTCAGATGGGACTTTGTTTGGGGCTTAAGCCCAAATTTTCTTTTATCCATTAATATCTTTGAAAGACATCTTTAGCAGAGAATAAAATATTTAAACTTGCCACTTTAAATAAATTATTATTTATGAATTTATTTACGTAATTTATTATAATTATTATTTATTTTTAGTGTTCTGTATTCACAGTGTTTATTCTTCACTATAAAACCAGTTTAAAGTTATTATTAATAGCTAATAATTATTAAGTGTTTAGCATTGTGCTGTATGCTTAAATGTATTACCTCATTAAATTCCCACATCCATATTAGTATCTTTATTTATAAAAAGTGTGCTTTGAAATTCAGTGAGATTTTGTTGGCTAACCCAAAGATACACAGCAACTAAATGAGAAACTGAATTTCAAATGAAAATGTTTCTTTCTCAGTTACCTAAATATTATAAAATTACAATACAGTCTACTATTAGTGCTTAAAATAATTATTTATTAAAAAACGGAAATGAAATAATACAAATCACAGAAAACACAAAATTAAAGTGACATATATCTAACCAATATAGCTAGTATTAGCAAACTCTCCGAAATGTAAGAAAAGTTTGCAATTTTTCTTCCTTGCTCCTCTACAGAAGGAATGGAAGAATATGTTCACCATTGTCTCATCTCAACAGAGGTCCCCAAGATCAAGTTTGTTTGTATGGTGCAAGCACCCCTATAAACTCAACAGCATGCAACAGTAAGAAAGAAAAAAGCAATGTTTCCCAAAGCCTTTGATTCCTAGAGGGAAAAGCCATGGGTGAGGGAAGAGAGGAGATGACAGGTTGGCATGGCTGGCTCATGTTCCTCTTGTGTGTATCCTGCCTTTGCAGTCCTTACCCAGCTGTCCTCACGAACTCAGCTATGTCAGTGGAGTAAACAGCAAACCAAATGTCAAATACCATCTATTACAAGTGACTAAAGGCAGGACAAAAACATCTTAAAATGAAAAGTTTTTAACTCCATCTTCTGAAAGTAGGTGTGCAGATAACTTCTTACTCTGAAGTCTTTTTATAAATAAAATTTGAATTTGGTTATTTCTCTGGAATGTTCCAGCTAGTTCTTAAAAAGAGAGTCATGATCTTATTTCAAGTCATTCGCATATGTTATTAGAGTAGTGATTTATAATTCTGGTTTTAAAATATCCTCTAATACCTCCAGTTATCTCAAAAGATGTCATAAAGTTGTCAAAATGTCCCCAAAGAAAACTGTTGAAACATTTCTAGAGGGCTGTAAAAATAATTCCTCCATTTTTCTCTTTCCAGAATTATACCATGCCAAACTACAAACTCACTTATTTTAATATGAGGGGGAGAGCAGAAATTATTCGTTATATATTTGCATATTCGGACATAAAATATGAAGACCACAGAATAGAACAAGCTGATTGGCCTGAAATCAAACCAAGTAAGTAGTACAAATAAAAGTTGATGAAAATGTAGAGAAAATATGTTTCCAGAATTTTTGTCTTTCTTCAGGAAAATAAAAAATAAAGTTCTTTTTTAATCTCATATAGTTTTATATTGAGAAGTAGCAGTCAGACAAATTAAATAAATGCTATGTGACCCAGAGAATTTCCTGTTCAAGGTGAAAATACAAACATCACAGAAAGAGAATAAAAAGATAAATCAATATGAAGTTTTGTCAGAAGAGTTGAAATGGGGGAATACTGAAGTCAATATTCTTGACAATTGGAATTGGATAAATTTGCTACAGATATCTTATAATGTTTTGATGAGCAGATCAGCTATACCACTCCAAAAGAAAACCAAACTCAAAATGGCTTGAATAATAAGGAAACGGATTGTATCATATAACTGAAAATCCTGAAATAGAACAGTTTTCAAAGGATGGCTATATCCATTTTTCCTTCTCTGTGTGCTGGCTGCATCATGAGGCTGGTAACAATATGTTTGCTACAATTCCAGCTTCACAGTGTTGAACAGCAATATTGAGAGGATATATGAGAAAGGGTAGGTGAGAGAGGCTGCTTCCTTAAGTGTTCTCAGAAGAATGAAGAAAAACTGTTCCAGAAGACCTCAGCAAATTTCTCGTGTCTTACTGGCTCAAATTGGGTCACATGTCCATTTCTGAGTCAGTCACTGGCAAAAGAGATGAGAAAGACCTTAGAACCATCTAGTTTCCCTTGAAGTTGGGGGATGGAATGAATTTTCATTACGCATGTGACTATATGAGAGATAGGTGGATATACAAACATAATTGGAATCTGTTTGATCAGAGGAAAGAGCAAATGGACAAATTGGGCAGGTAACCCAATCAAAACATGATACTTAGCACTCAGGACAATGAGGAAGAATTAGAAATATTATTACATTAAACAAACAACAGTGTGCAGTTCCCAGTAAATTGTAAGTCATCCTCTAGATGCTTGTCATGTTACCTAGAAATACTAACTAAATATTAATTATATATCTAAACTTTGCATATTGATGACTGGATTATTACAAATTCACATAAAGATGAAGTTAAAGAAAACAACCATTGACTTGAAGACTATCTGGCACTTAGTAGATACTCTGCAGACTCTATTTTGTTTAATTTCTCTAGCATGCCTACATGAAATGTACTTTTGATTCTATTTTATATTGGGATAACTGAAGCACACAGAGTTTAGTTAATTTTTCCAGGTTCATAGCCCTAGCATGGAAGAACTGATTTTCAAACAAAGGTCATTTTAATGCTATAGGCCAAGTTTCTTGCACTAGATAATGCCAACAACAATAGTACCAGGATAGATGGTATATTAGCAATAAATATTGTTATATGCCTTTTGGAAGCATGAGTTCCTTAAAAGTCATTGTCCTTGAAATTATTATTTTTTCTTATGAGAGAATTCTTCTCTGGTGTGATAGAATATTTTATTTTCTGTTCTCAAGAAACTTTACCATTAACATCCAAACATTTCTCCTGATATCAAAATTTGTATATGGGTTTTTAATTCTGTGAACATAAAATAGGTGAAAATTAATTTTGTCCACTAATTAAGTTGAGATGAATAGCAAGTTGTGAAGATACTGCATATAACAAATTCTGTCTTTTAGTTTTTAGATATAAGTTCTTTGAATGCCTCATAACTTATTCTACCTTAATTTTTTATTATGTTATTGAAAATGGAATTGCTGCATTTTCTTAATATTTTTATAGAGTTGAAGGGATCTTAAAATTCAATATGGTTAGGATATAGTTTCAAATACTTTAACAGAGATCCAACACATAAATGGTTAAAGAGGATAAAAATTTATATCTTTTGTGTAAAAGCCTAATTATATACACTGTAATTTTGTTTTCTTAATGCATATGAGAAAGCAATTAAAATATTAAAGTAGTTATAATTATGTGGGAGAATTATTTCTATTTATCTTCAACTGAGAATTTTTTATGACAAATATATACTGCTTTCTGACAAAAATATAATAGGTTTAAATAACAAAACTAAGTAGAAATTACAGATAAAATATTAATATAATATCTGCTATAGGTCTGTCTTATATTCGTACAAATATACTTGCTGCCTTACTATAGACTTCAAATAGTCCCTCATCAAAAAAAGAATTTTGCCAAAATCCTTACCATAACTCAATATATAAGTCAAACTCTCCATATTTCTCAGATTATGGTTTTAAAGAATTAATGTGATCCTTGATTGAGGCCACAAAAATTAAGCTTTAAAAGAAAGGTTTTTTTTTGTTTTTTGTTTTTTAGAAATTAAGTAGTAAGTATACATAAATGTATGAAAATATATACTGTAATACAGGGTATCACTGTTAACCTGGACTTTAGACTCTGTGCTGTCACTAACTATAGCAGATCTTCTTCTAACAAGCAACTGTTTTTTTTTTTTTTAGCTTATAAAATGTAAAGATTCCACTAGAGGGTGCTTAACATCCCTTTTAGAATAAATAGTCAAGACTCCAGTTAGGATGGTGGTACAGGTAAATGCTGTGCTTGCTTCCTTTTACAACCACATCAAAATTACAATTAAATTACAGAACAACCACCGTTGAGAATACCTGAGGTCTAACTGAACAGAAGTTCTATAATTAAGCACATACAGAAAAGCCACCTCAAGACTGGTAGGAGGGGCAGAGACATGGAATGGGCTGATCCCACACTCTCATGTAGCGGTTAAAATTTGGGAGGAATGTCTTGGCTCCAGAGGTCCCTCTTGAGGCATAAGGGCTCCTAACTAACCCCACACTAGGATCTGCAGTCTAGGTTTCCAGTGCCAGTAAGAGAAGTCCCCGCTACTTCTGGATGTGAAAACCAGCAAAGATTGTGGCTGAGTGAGACAAAGGGTGGCTGGAGTTCCAGGCACTCTTTTTAAAAGGCGCACACACAAACTTACTCACTGATGGTTTCACTCACTCTGAGCTCCAGAGCTGGTGAAGCAGCTCGAAAGATGCCAGGGACACGTTGGGAAGAGTTGAATTGTATGACTTCAGGGCAAGGGCTGGAGAAGCAGCTTTTTCTAAGACAGAAATGCTGGCAGAAGCCATTGTTCCTTTGTTGAGCCCTCTCCCCCTCACAGCATGCTGATGCAGGTGGCTGCCATATTTGAGTCTCTATCAACCTAGCTAACACTGGTTGCCCTGCCCTGCAGATTCCATGAGACTATGCCCCGCTCAACTTGTGGACCCACCCAAGATGCTTCCAGTGGCTTTTCTATACAAAAGGCCTGTCTTGACTCATGCTGAACTTTCCTAAAATCTGTCACAGATTTGCAAACCCCAAACAAGCAGCATCTGGCCTCAATGTGTCCTGTACCTCTTGCTAAGCAGCCCCAACCCTGGCACTAGCAGTAGCCAACCTCAGTTCACAGCTTAGCCCCTCCCAGGCACCTCCAAGCCAGCACAAATGGGAACCATCTGCAGATCACTTTGTAGCTCCTGTGGAAGACACAGGCAGTGACCTCAGCCTGCAACAGAGCCCTTCCCAAGAGGCCCCTGAATCAAGACAACTGGTGGCCAGCTTTAGACCACACCAGGGCACTATCCATTCACCTCCGCAAAAGTCACTCCTAAAGGGCAGACTGGAAAGGCACCAGAGCCCCGCTAAAGCAAATCCTGCTCTATATGGTCAGCCCCTGCACAACAGGTTCTCCCCTGGTCATGGCCAGTCTTCACAATCAATCAGCCTGAGGGTCAGTCCCTTCTATTGGTGTGCAAACAGCAACCAAGGTTCAATTGCAACACGAGGGCACACACAAGTCACACAAGGGATAACCATCATTGAGAATCACCTGGGTGACCAGGTGACCAGGGAGACTGTGCGACTGGGTCCCAGAGGACACTTACTACATAAGGCCACTTTATTAAGACTTGGAGACATAGTAGTTCTATCTAATAATAGAAACAAACACAAGTAGGCAGCCAAAATGGAGAGACAAAGAAACATGTCTCAAATGAAAGAAAAGAACAAAGCTCCAGAAAAATAACTGAACAATATGGAGACAAGCAATCTACCAGATGCAGAGTTCAAAACGCTGGTTGTAAGGATGCTCAATTATTTTAATGAGAACTTCAACAAAGAGATAGGAAATATAAAAAAGAACCAGGCAGAAATGAAGAATGCAATAACTGAAATAAAGAATATACTAGAGGGAATCAACAGTAGATTAGATGAAGCAGAGAATCAAATCAACAATTTGGAAAATAAGGTAGTAGAAAACACTCAATCAGAACAACAACAAGAAAAAAGGAGAGGATAGTTTAAAGGGCCTCTGGGACAACATCAAGAGTAATAACATCAAGGGTACCAGAAAGAAGAGAGAGCAAGGGATTGAAAACCTATTTGAAGAAATAATGATGGAAAACTTCCTTAAGAAAATAGACATACCAGCTCAGGAAGCACAGAGTCCCAAACAAGATGAACCCAAACAGACCCACATCAAGACACATCATAATTAAAATGCCAAAGGTAAAAGACAGAGAATCTTAAAAGCAACAAGAGAAAAGTAATTAGTTACCTACAAGGGAGCTGCCATAAGACTGTCAGCTGATTTCTCAGCAGAAACTTTGCAAGCCAGAAGGGATTGGCATAAAATATTCAAGGGCCTATAATCAAGATTATTCTATTCAGCAAAGCTATCGTTTAGAATTAAAGGACAGATAGAGAGCTTTCCAGACAAGAAAAAGCTAAAGGAGTTCATCGCCACCAAACCAGTACTATAAGAAATGTTAAAGGGACTTTTTTAAAAAGAAAAATATGAATAATAAAATGGCAGTAACTATATATCTATCAACAATTTACATGTAAATTAAAAGACATAGGGTGAGATATGCATAAGAAAACAAAACCCTTACATGTGCTGCCTGCAAGAGACTCACTTCAGATTGAAAGACACACACAGACTGAAAGTAAAAGGAGGAAAAGAGATATCCCACGAAAATGGAAACAAACAAAAAGTTGGGGTAGCGATACTTAAACCTGACAAAATAGACTTTAAACAAAAGCTATAACAAGAGACAAAGAAGCATACAGTAATTTCACTTCTGGGTATTTATCTGAAGAAACTCAAAACACTACTTTGAAGGGACATGTGCATCCATATGTTCATTGCCGCATTATTTACAATAGCCAAGAAAAGGAGGCAACCATCAGTGAATAAATGGAGAAGAGGTGGTACATATATACAATGGAATGTTATTCAGTCACACCCAGAAAAATGAAATCTTGCCATCTACAGCAACATGGATGGACCTAGAGGGTATTGTGCTGAGTGGAGTAAGTCAGACAGAGAAAGAAAATATCATATGATTTTACTTATATGTGGAATCTAGAGAACAGGATGAATGAACAAACAAAACAGAAACAAGCTCATAGATACAGAGAGCATTTTGATGGTTGCCAGATTGTGGGGGTAGGGGTGGGTGAATGGGGGAGGGAATTAAGAAGTACAAATTGGTAGTTACAAAATAGTCATGGGGATGTAGAGTGTGGCATGGGGAATATAGTCAGCATATTGTAATAACTATGTATAGTGTCAGAAGGATATTGGATTTATCGGGGTGATCACTTCATAAGTTATATAAATGTCTAAGCACAGTGCTGTACACCTGAAACTAATATAATGTATGTCAACTGTAATCAAAAAATAAAAATAAAATTTTTAAAGAATAAATTTTCAAGAATTCCATGACTTTAAAATCATGTTTTGCTTCCACAATTATCAGTAAAAATGTAGTATTATAACTCTTAATTTTGTTATAGAAGTTGATTCTTTGCACATTTTGTTTTAAGCTCTTCCATTTGGCAAAATCCCTGTTTTGGAAGTCGATGGACTTAATCTTCATCAGAGCCTAGCAATAGCAAGATACTTGACCAAAAACACAGGTAATGTATTTACTGTGTTTTAAGATTTTTTGATAACTGAATAAAAATGATATATATATATATATATATATTTAGTATTCATTAGATAACTTTATTATTGAACACTATAGTACAAAGAAGAATGGAATTAAATGCTAGAGAGGTATAAATGTAACATCTATACCAATTTCACTTTCTAGGAGTTTCCTAGGCAATTTATTTTATTTTATATTATCCACTGCCCCTCCTACCCCACACCTCCTTTCCTCCAATCTCTTATTGGAATTTAGCTAAAAAAGCGGACAAGTAGGTCTGAAACCAGACTTTTGCAAGCATGTGTGATCAGAGAAGATTAACAGAAAATACATATAGCATATGAAGTTTGAAATTCCTCAGACTATTTAAATCATGTATTCAGTGTTCTTTATCCTAATCACACTGGGGAAAAAAACTAGAAAGGTTGTCTTCTTTGCTTCCACAGAGTGCCATCTGAGGCATCTTTAGTTGTTAGTTGGCTTCTGGATTGTTTTGTAAGCACCTGTACCTATGGCATTGATGAGGAGAAATTTAAAAACCTGTTAGTTCTTGTTTTTACTGGATGCCCTTTCTCCCATCCTTGTTCTTTTGTCTTCTCTCCCCTCATACTGCTCTAACACTCTTTTTGAGTAAACAGCTATGATTGACTTCCTTTATAATCCCTTTTTTTCTAATCAATCTGCAGAATCACCATGCCACCCTCCCAAACCTCCACACCTACCACAACCACAATGATCCAACCATACATACATGGTTAGCTCACAAATAAAATGGGCCATAATTACTAGACCTTTATTTTTTAATCAAAGTAATGTATGTACATTAAATATGCAAAAATTTATGTTGCACTAACACATATTTCAACAAATAAAATTCTTTGGAAGCTTAGAAGAGATGGAGACTACTTCTGACTCCATGGAAATTTGAATTTGAAGTGAAAATGACATTTGAATTGAGCCTTAAAGGATACCTAGAATTTAAAGAGGAAGACTTGAACTTGGATAGTGTTTCTCAAATGTTATGTGTATCAGGATCACTTGGAGGCTCATTAAAACAAAGATTGCTCAGCCTTGACTCCAGAAATTGTGATTCAATAAGTCTTGGTTAGGGCCCAAGAATTTGCATTCTTAACAGTTTCCTAGATGATGCTGATGCAGCTGGTCCATGGACCTTACTTTGAGACTCTCTGGGCTTGAACATTTCCAGCAGAGAGAAAACGGCATGAGAAAAATAAAAGAACTTCTAATTTGCACAGGGAAGGAGGGAGAGAAGAAGGAAGGAAGGGAGAAAGGAGTTTCTTAACTAGCAATACACTTTTCAATCTGTGTTCTTCAGTCAGTCATAAGTGCCATGAAGATAAGGAATTTATCTCTTTTGTTCACTGCTGTTGGAGTTGATCTACAGTTGAAGCCCAGTAATTATTTGTTGAATGAATAAAGAAGGAAGAGCTGGTAGGATGTGATGACTCCATTTTCAGATTTGTTAAAGGAGGTTCAGGAGACAAAAAGATACATAGAGAACTACCCAAAAGGAGGCTGAGAATATGGGCCTGGAATTTAGGACTAAAAGTGTTGATAAAGAGTCATTTGCATAAAATTAATAGTAGCATGGAATTTTGAGCATGGAAGTCAAAGTAGGATGAAAATGAACGAAGGGAACCTAATGTAACATTTGGAAGGACTTTTCAAGATCAGAAAGAAGGATCAACCTCTGAACACCAGAAACACAAAATACAGCTTACAGAAGAACTCTAGATCACTAAAACATTTTATTTTCCTTTAACATCTTTGCTGGTCTGATTTATACACAATTCACTCACTGTCAGTATATAGTTCCTTGATTTTTAGTAAATTGACACAGTTATGTAAAAGCAATCTATTTTAGAATGCTTCCACACTGAAGAATTTTAGATTGACACCAGTGAGAAAATATGTAGGGAGATTAATGATTTCTTAGCAAAATGATGGTTAATGAATGGCAAGAAAAAACACCTCTATTATTTTAAAATTGTAGTTTCCAGGATGAAAACAAATGCTCCTGACAAAAATGGTCTGTGAAAATGAAAATGATTCTTTTTACAAAATAAATGAAAATGTACATACAGGATTTTTATTGTAGTACTACTTATATTAGTTAAAGATTGGAAGCAAACCTAATCAGTTGAGGTTAAATGAATTGGGGGTATTTCTACTTAAAGGGATCCCATGGAACTGAAAAAGAACAAAGATGCCCTTATGGGACTTGTACGGAAAGATCTCTAGGATATATGTAAGATTTGCATTATTCTTATTTTCATAAAGAAACAATGGAAGAATACAAAAGAAACGAATAAAAGTAGCTACCAATATGGTAGTTCGTAAGGAGCAAAATGAGGTGAATGGGGGCAGGAATGAAAGTCAGTTTTTATTGAATACTGTTTTATATTGTTTTGAATTTTCAAACCATATGAATATATTGCTTATTAAAATTAATGTTTTATGTTTGTGGGCATAAAATGGTCTCTCTGTATTCCACAGATTTGGCTGGAAAAACAGAACTGGAACAATGTCAAGTTGATGCTATTGTGGACACATTGGATGATTTCATGTCATGTTTTCCTTGGGCAGAGAAAAAACAAGATATAAAGGTAATGTAATCAGTTTGTTATTACTGCTATTAATCATATCCACTTGGCAGACATTAAAAGTCCCTTTTTATCAAAGTTAGACAAACCTACAGTTTTAAAATACCAAATTATATTGAAAAGTTTAAAGCAAAGTACAGTGATTCTCTGCTCTACCTCTTCACAATAATCTCTCAGATGCAACCCTCTTTTTAACCCTTTTGGCTATTTCTTTAGGATTTATACATCTCCATATTTCTATAAGTTATGTAAACATGACTTACTTTGATTCACTAATTTTACATACTATGGACTTGTTATACTAATAAGAATTTAACTCTTTTATAGGCATCCTCTCTGCTTCCTGTTCCCCCAAATCCCCAATATAGTGATATTAAAAATGTTTTGGTTAAATCAATATTCAGTGATTACGTTAGTATGACCATGCAAATGTTATATGGAACTGTGCATTTGTATGTTTTGATTATATTTCCTTTATCACTTTTCCTCTTCAAAGTTAGTAATTGCCCTTTTTCACTTGCTTTATTCTTTTTATTTATTGTTATACCTTCCTACAGTATCCAATAGTCTACCAATATGGTTTTTCCACAAGGTCAATGGAGATATCTAGCCAGAGACTTCCACTCTCCTCTGTAGAACTGTCTCGTTTTTCTGTGCCTCTGTCATCATCAAACTCCCCATTATTGCCATTCTAGGGATCTTTCTCTTGAGTTGGAGTCCTGTCTCCTAGATGCCATCTTCTGTCTTTATCTCTTCCTTTGTTTCTTTGAGGGTACATCCTCCAATATTCTAAAGTTAAAATGAAGGCTCGTTGACAGGAGATATGATGGTGACAGATGGTATGGATATGCCTCTCTTCTGTGTCTCTGGTTTACTTGCCCTAGACAGCTGCTGGTGTCCAGTTGTCAATAGAGAATCTTTATTATCATCTCGAATGCTTCTTTTGATCCTTTCTTGGCTTAATTCTCCTGGTTTCTGTTCTTGTTTTTGTGAAGCAATCCTCCAATAGCTTATTGAGCATAGGAAAAAGTTGGGAGCTTTATTTGTCTAAAAATGGTTTGATTTCATCTTCATACTTGTTTCATAATTTGACTGGATATAGAATTCTATGTTGAAAGTAATTTTTCTTCAGTATTTGGAAAACATTTATGTATGGTCTTCTAGCTGTTGATTGAAAAGACTGAATTGAATCCGGTTACTGACCTTTTATATGTGACTTATTTTTTTTCCTCTCTGCAAGTTGGTAGACCACTTGTCCCTAGAGTTCTAAAATTTTACAGTGATTAGTCTTAGTATGATTTTCTTTTTATCCACTGTGCTATCTCATTTTTGGGCCCTTTAAAACCTGGAACTTGCATCCTTTAATTCTAGAAAATTTTCTTTAGATTTTACTGGTAATTTCTCCCCCTTTCTTTTCTTTGATCCATTATATTAGAATTCCTGTTATTCAGATATTAGATCTTTTCTCTATGACCTAGCTCTTCTTCTTCTTCTTTCTCCTCCTCCCCGTCGTCCTCCTCCTCCTCCTTCTTGCATTACTTGCAGGAAGAATTCAACTTTATTCAACAGCCCTTCTCTTGATTTCTAAGTCTGATACTGTGTTTTTAAATTTATAAAGGGTCTTTTTCTATGATATTCTGTTGTGTTTTTTTAAATGTTATTTTATATTTATTTAGTGTATACAATATCATCTCCTGGCCTATGGCATGTTTGTTAAAAGATGCTGTTTTTTCCTCCTCTTTGTTTTGGTCTCTGTCTTTTCCAGGAGTCAGACCATCCTTTATAATCCATGATGAAGAGTAGAGAAATTAAAAAGCTTACTTAAAGCTCTTGGCATGTGGATGGGGTTTGTTGATTTTGAGCATCCCTAGGCCATGTGGGGGGCAGGGTACTTCCCAATATCACTATCTTCAGTTATTTCCTCTTACACTTGAAAGAGCCCTAGAGAAGACTTTCAATCTCCTGCCCAGAGAAACAAAGGCCTGGCTGCCAGTGCTCCCACCAACAAGCAAAGAAAAGGCTGAGTCTCAGAATGTGACAATCAATAACACATATTCATTTAACTCCCCTATTTTTAATACATTATGTATGACAACTTCCAATCCAGAGGCCATCTGTGTCACCCTCTCCAGCCTTCTGCTAAGGATGGGGAAGAGGCAGGTGTCTAGCAGTATAAAATGAAGGAAGAAATCTTAAAAGTGATTTCATTCATGGATTTTCTCATCAATCCTCATTTTACCTCCTCCCTTACCTCCTTACCCCCAATTCTAGATATATCCTGGCATTTCCTGAACTATTTGAGGGTTTTACAGGGTTTTTGATTTTCCCTTTGCAGGTACTGTTCATCTACCTGCTTTACAGCTTCAAACTCCTCTCTAGTTTTCCACCTCTTCGTGGGTTCTATCTTTCCAAAATATGCATTTACTGTGGTTTTGGATTTAAAAAATGTGTACGTCATATCTGTCTTCTTTGTCCTGAATTATAAACATACCCCCTAAGTTATTCTCTATTATAGACCCTAGCCACCTTTCTCTTAGGGCACTCATCAAAATCTATATTTTAAAATATATTTACTTGTTTGTCTCCTCTAGTAGAATGTGTTATGAGGGTAGGAATCACATCTACATTATTCACTGGTGTACCCTCACACCTATCACAGAGCCTCATATTTAGTAGGCACTAAATACTTGTTGAATGAGTGATAGGTAGAGCAAAATTGATCAAAAACCATGTGCAGGTGCGGCTCTAACCTTTTTACATGAATTATCTCAGTCAGTCCCCCCTTAATCCCATGAGATAAGTGCTTTTTATTGTCATGCTCACTTTGCAGGTGAAGAATCTGAGAAATAGAGTAGTTACATAATTGCCCAAGTCACACAAGCTGACCCACTGCAGAACTCATAGCCTCAACCCATACACATACTTTCTGAAATCCAAATTAGTGACTAATTCCCAAAACATCCCTTTAGGGAGAAATGGTTGTTATGCTTTTTTTCCAGATGAAGAAATTAAGGTTCATGTAGTGTAAGTCACTTGCCTAAGGTTATTTAGCTAGTAAGTGGCACACTAGGAATTCCAAACCTAGTCACTAGGACTCAGACTCCATGTTCTTAACCACCGGGTATAATGCCACAGTGACAGCAGCTGTTCACAACAGCTATGCACAAATACTATGTACATGTTATCATTTAAGGCCTGCATCCAAAAGCTACAGTGTAGAACAGATAGCAGTCTTTCTAACTTACTTAAGAATATTTATTCTAAATACTATTTATTTAATGAGGACCTTCTGATTTGAATAGAGGTATTTATTGCTTCCTTGACATAAATGTGGGGACACACACACACACACACACACACACACACACACACACCCCTAACCAGGACAAAGTCTTAAATAAAAGTTCAGCTTTGATGATAGAGATACTGCCCAAATGTCAGGCTTAAATCATGATTCTCTTCTTATTAGTTGTCACTTAACTCCTTATCAATAGTTCAAATTCTTTGTCTATTAAGTAGGGAGATCATAAAATCTACTTTGAAGTATGCTAGGAGGAGTCAATGGTAGCACAAGTATTTATGGCTGTGTAGAAGGTTTGATAAACATTAGTTACTATAATTAATACAGTGTTATTATTTTGTCCAGTGCTCATTGTTTTTCCTTTTATTTGTCAAACATGGCATGTATATTTTACACTTCTTTATAAATGCAGAAACAAATAGATACATAAATCCCTGATTTAGAAAAAAAAAGTATCTAAAGCTTTTTGTTCCACATGCTAACTACCCCACTGATTGGCAGTCTGTCAGCTTATGGGCTTGCCCTTCTCGATTTTCTCTATTTTGGCTGAGGCTCCATAACAGAGGCCGCCTGACAGAGGAAAATATTCTTTGAACATTTATAAGAGCAATACTCTACCTTCATATTAGAATAGCGATGCTCTTACAAACCACCTACCTCAAAAAAAAGTTTCACAGGACATAATCCAAGTTCATGAATAAATCATAGTAAGGGAGAACATGTTGCAGAAATACTGCAGATAGTTACAGACTGATTAATAAGCAGAACCTGGCTAGTATACAATGGAAAATGCATGTTTTTTTTGGTAATTCTTTGCCTAGTTTCCTTGTAGTGGGTTGCAATGCTGCCACCTTGTGGTCAGGTAAAAGTCAAAAGCAGAACATTGATGCAGTAATGATAAATGGATAATGAAAATAGCCCTCATTATATGTGCTTTAAAAATCTATCAAGTACACATAATTATAAATATTTTATATTTATAATTATTTTATATTTCCAATTTTTAAAATTTAATTTAAAAGGCAAAATATGTCTCTGTACATTGGTCACCTTGATAATCCTTGAACTTACCTCTAGTATTTCTTTGGTTCTGTCATGTATCTGTTTCAGTTTCCTCATCTGAAGAACAATTTTAGGGGTGAGATGGCGGATGATCCAGACTGAAGGAATGCTAGTGGTCCATTTCCAATACTAAATGATTTTGGTAGTATGGATTTAAAAATAATGCTTTGGAGAAAAATATAATCTTCTTTAATTCCTCTAAAAGCCATTTGATGGAATATATAGCAATGACTTCTAACAGAGTGAAAAACCCTCCTACCTAACAGTTCTCTGGAGGAGGAGGTAGGACATTTCTGAGTACACCAACTGTAAGAATGGCTGCCTAGGATTCATCAGGAAATGCATTTTAAAAGGTACACATTTGGGAAAAAAAAAAGGATGTATAATCAAATTTCATCTTATATTATTTTGGTGAGTTTTCTAAAATGACTCTTAAATACTAATGATTATGCTGTTTGGGTGTGTACATTTCATTAGACTAAGATGATTCACAAACATGTAAAGAGAACTTGGGCTAACAGAGAAGTGAATAGCAAAGAGATAAGATTTTCATTTGACATTTCATATACACAAGCATTGATGTATCTTAATTGTGGAAATGCACCTTAGAAAAGGTAACAAAATTACCCAGGTAAGCAAACAGGAGTTTTTGGAAAGCCATCCTGCAGCTATATCCTGTTCCATTCAACTCCCTCCTGTTTCTAGCTATTCTGGGACAGCCAAATTGACTGTTATCTTTCCAATTGATGCTCAGCTGAGCTCAGCTGAGCTGTGGAAAGTGCCACACAGCTCTAGGCCCATTGCCTCAGTTCACAGATTCTGTGTAAGGGGCAGAAGGACTTATACTGTTTTTATTTAAAACTATGAACACATTAACCATAGAGAGAGAAGCTTAGGTACAAAAGTGATATATAACAGTGGAAAGAATATAAAGTCAAAATAATGACAAGCTTTCCAAGCTCGTCAACTTTTGCCAAATTTGTTAAATCTGGCAAATGTTTGTAAATATGCAATGATGCTTTTGTAAACTGTACTCTACAAATATAAGGCATTATGTTTTAGTAATCTATACTCCTAGCTAAGTCATCATGACAACAGGAAGTAAATCAGCAAATTGGTGAGGTTGTTATCAACTACCCGACTTACCTTAATAAAGACTGGATTTTATTACTCTACCTTGGAGATACTGTGGATTCAGTTCCATTCAGACCACTGCAATGAAGAGAATATCGCAATAAGCGAGTAACAAAATTTTTGGGTTTTCCAGTGCATACAAAAGTTATGTTTACATTATATCGTAGTCTATTAAGTGTGCAATAGTATATGTCTAAAAAAAGTACATACCTTAATTTAAAAATGCTTTATTGCTAAAAATTGTTAACCATCATCTGAGACTTCAGTGGGTCGTAATTTTTTTGCTGGTAGAGGGTCTTGCCTCAATGTTGTTGACTGCTGACTGATCAGGGTGGTGGTTGCTGAAGGTTGGGTGGCTGTGGCAATTTCTTAAAATAAGTCACCAGTGCAGTTTTCCACTTAAATTGATTCTTTCTTTCACTTGAACACTTAGAGGCCATTGTAAAGTTATTAATTGACTTAACTTTAATATTGTTGTATCTCAGGGAATAGGGAGGCCCGAAAAGAGGGAGAGAGACCAGGGAACAGCCAGTTTGTGGAGCAGTCGGAACACACACAGCATTTATCAGTTAGTTTGCTGTCTTATACAGGCATGGTTCAGGACACCCCAGAGCAATTACAATAGCAACATCAAAGATCACAGGTTACCATAACAAATATAATAAAAAACGTTTGAAATATTGTGAGAATACTGAAATACAACACAGATAATGACATGAGCAAATGTGCCACAGACTTGCTCCATATAAAGTTGCAACAAACTCTCAATTTGTAAAAAATATACTATCTGTGAAGAGAAATAAAGCAATACACAATAAAATGATGTATGCTTGTATATGTCATTTATAAATATTAATGAATGATATATATACATATAATATTTTTGAGTTTGAATTACATTTCACATCCAACATACAAACCAGACAATATTTTCACATATTAAAAAAATACTTCTTACCAAGAAACAGGCCATGAATAAATTATTTGGTCTTCAGAGCCTCAAGTAAAAGCACAAGGAATATTATTTGGTTTGTAATGTTATCTTACGTAATATATCAAAAGGAGGCACCTAGATGATGGGTTTTATAGATGATATTCAAGGCAGACAAGTCTCATACTAAGGTACAATATCAAGCCAAAGAGAAAATCTATAAAAACCTGAGAGCATAATGATTCATTAGAAATTATTTCCATTAAGTGCAATGGTGAAATGAAACGCTGCCACATGGGGATGTAAAGTGCAGTATAGGGAATATAGTCGATAGTATTATAAGAACTATATGTGGTGTCAGATGGGTACTAGATTTATTGGGGTGATCATTTCATAAGGTATGTAAATGTTTAACTACTATGTACACCTGAAACTAATATAATACTTATGTCAACTGTAATTTAAAATTTTAAAAGATTAAAAAAAGAAAGACTGTCAAACTGGAGGAAACTAGCCTTACAAAATAAAATTAACTTCTTTAACTTCAGTTATTTATTTAACTTTAAAGGAAGAGAGGCTAAGAAAAGGAAGAATTTTTAAAATGGAAAAACATAATAGAATCATTTTTAACAAAAATTAAGATAAAAATCATTAAAAGATTTTGCTAGTAAAATATTTAGTCATTATGTACAAAGAAACTATAAGAACTGGTGACCAAAGTATTCATTTTTTTAATTCATAAGTAATAAAGGAGTGAATAACATTATTCATCCCTTTGATGAATAAAGAGACCTGCTTCTCTGTAATGTCACACATTTGAAAAAAAACTACTAACCAACAACACAAAGCTACTTCTTTCTTTCAAAACTCATGTAGGAAAATAATGATGAGAAAAACCTACTTCTTCCTCAAATCATATTATTTATTTCTCTTCTTATTATCCTTAAAGTGTCTTTTTCTCCCTCTCCTAGGAGAAGATGTTTAATGAGCTACTTACATTTGATGCACCTCATCTTCTGCAAGATTTGGACACATACTTAGGGGAAAAAGAATGGTTTATTGGTAACTCTGTGAGTGTGCTTTATATCTTAAAAAGTACAAGTAAATATATTCCTATCTATCTATCTATCTATCTATCTATCTATCTATCTATCTATCTACCTACCTACCTACCTACCTACCTACCTACCTATCGAGATAAACTTATTGTAAGAAGGGAGTAGTTTAGAGAGCAGGGATAAAAGCTAAGCTTCTTTGAATAAATCTTTTTTAGTAGACTTAACTTTGGAAACATGAACTAAAATCTTTTATATAACTATATAACAACAACAAAAACATTTTAAAAAGCTATCACTACAAAGCAAAAGCAAAGTGAAACAAATGAACCTGTGTCAAACTGGTGCATGGAGTATGTAGAGAAGTGCCTATGTACTCTGTTAGTGAAGAACTATTTTAGGAAATATCAACATTTGCAAAACAGTATTTTGACTATATGTCTCATTACAGATATTCTCTTGACAAAAATTAAAAATCATGCACCATTTTTTTGTAATTATATCGTTAGTGGTACTGCATACAGTGCTATTGTTTTTTTCCTGATATTATTATATTTATATTGTGGAGAAAAGTAGTAAGAAATTATGTGGATGTCACTGAGAACTAGAATTTTCAGTGTGGGAGAAAGAAGATAGAGATCTAAGATCAACGAGGTTAAGTAAATATCCTATTCCTGAATGCAAACTAGATGTAACAGTATAAACTCAGGGTGTTTATCTTAGGATAAAGAAGAATGCATTTCATGTCTATTTTTCTGGAAACAATGACCAACCCAATTGAGCTGGACAACCCCCTAGTACCCAGATTCTGGCCTCCAAATATTAAAAGGAACAAGGGCTTCTTCGAGAAATGGCTCATTCTCAGTTTGGAACAGGAAATGTAAAAGATGAGCTGGGAATGCCTTGTCATACCAGACACAAGTAACTTATCAGAGACAACTGGGGTTGTGTCAAAAAGACTCAGAAGTCAACCTGAAGAGGCTCCCACTGGTCAAAAATGGGACAATTCAAACTTCAATAAGAATATTAACAGCAATGGGTTGAAACAAATCAAAATGAATGAATCCATTAGTTTATGACTACCACCACTACCACAACCAAACACACACACACCCATACACAGAAAGGAAAAAAACAAAGTTTCACTGATAACTTTCAAGAAGATGCCATGGGGCCAAATTATTATTCTGAAACCTGTTAAAAACAAAAAAAGCTGAAGGTTTGAATAAAGCATTTATTTTGCCTTTCCTATGCCAGTTGTATCTCAAGATAATAAAAATTGATGCACAAAGTTTGTCTTCATAAAAATTCCAGTTCATAAGGAGAGATTAAAATACACTATTAGCATTTTCCAACTCGTGAAGAATTAATGGACCCATGCATTGAGTATCAATAATTGTTAATATCATAAAAAGTGAGACAACCAGGTATTACAGACCTACTGAGAGAGGGGCACACCACCACTATGAAGTAGTTATGCCAAAACACCCAAACCTAAATCCAATTTGAATGCGGTGGTAGGTCAGGGTCCGTGTCTTCAAGGAGACTGCATTCTAGAACACAAGACACAGTCTACTTTCTTGTGGTCCTCTTGTGACTTATTCTGATCACTGTCTGCTGAGTCCTTCTGGGTGACAGAAGTAAACTTTCCACATCTTTATTCATAACTTTCTACCTCACGACACACCCCTTCATTTCTTCCCATTGACTCAATAGCCTTTCCTAAAATGTTCCTCTCCCTGCTCCATTGAATAATTTCCAAGGATTTAATGTTTCTTTTTCCCTTCTGTTTTCTATTAAAATTTCTTCATAAACTTTCTCCTGAGTCCATCTTTTAGCATTCTTTCTCTTCTTCACAGTGTTCCACACACACACTGGTGTTTCATTTTTCAGACACAAGTCCTATTCCTAACAGCCTTTACACTTGCTGCTTCCTCTGCCCAGATTGTTTAATCCTAATTGCTGCACATCTGGATCCAACATCATTCAAGCCTTGCCTTAAATATCACCCCTTAAAGATCTTCACTGCCTACCTAAGAGTCTCTCTCATAACTTCACTATTTCTTCATCACCCCTATCAGTTTACATGTTTATCTTCCTGCTTCTAAAATAAAAACTGCATCAGAGAAGGGGCTTGCATAACATTTTGCTCACCAGTTAATCCCAGCACCTAGACCTGTATGTAGCACACAGTAGGTTCTCCATAAATGTGTTGACTGAACTCTGAATCCTCTAATACACTCTCTTGGTTGACCGGTGTTTAGTAAGCAATCATAAAACACTAGCAATAAGCATTATTAAATTCCATACAAAAAGAAAACTAATTGTCTACATTTAAACTTCACTCTTTGATTTCCATATGGAGCCAAAGTAACATCATCCAGATTAGTGCCTAATCACAAAGGGAAAAAAAATATACAAGAGAGAACCAGGCTGTTATCAGCCTAATACAGTGGTCAATCTTAGGATTCCACTCGTGATCAGACACCCAAACATAATGTCCTCTGATGTGATGCAATATAATGTATGTTAGCCAGAAATATTTATCTTGAAACTATGAATTCTCTAGGGACAAGGTAAACGATAAGATGAGTCACTCAAATCCTGAAGACAAGATATTGTATAGGACTGGTGTGGAATATTCAATAATTCAATGATATGAAAAAAAAGGGCGCTTATTCTGAATTGAGTTAAAAGACACAACCAGATGAAATGCACACTCCCAGAATGTATTCTGCTTATCCTATGAAGAATATTCTTGGAATAGATGGAAAAGTATCAATTGGGTATTAGATAAAATGAAAACGAGGAGAGAGAAAAAAATGGCGTAGATGATAGAGGCTCTGTTCATCCCTCTGGAGACCAAATCAAAGTTGTGATGGAAACAAGGAGCAGCAGAAAGGAAAAATCGTCTGGGATCTAGAGGAACAAGCTATACAACTAGGGAGAAGTCCAAGAAAACACCCTGCAATGGCAGAAGGTAGGATGGTGTGAGGACGTGGGGCTGCCTGGTCTCCAGCGGCTGAGTGAGATGGAGGCTCCAGCAGCAGCAGAACCCTCTTAAAGGGGCTGCGTCCACGAGCAGATTTTCATGGTGACCGACTTGCTAGGTCTGAGGACCACTGCCAATTCAGCTGCATGCAGGGGGCACCAGGAATTTGCAGGGAGACATTATCAGAGTGAGGGCTGAGGAGAGACTCGCTCTGTACAGAAGTGCCTGTGGTATCCACTGTTCCCTGTTGAGCCCCCCACCCTACCCCAGTGTGCCTGACATGGCGCCGCCATAGCTGTGAAATCATCAAACTGGATAACAGAGGTCGCTCTGCCCAGAGGATTCCCTGAAACCCCGCCTCCCCCAACTTGCAGCTCTGCCCAAGCCACATCCAGGTGTATCCTCAGTGAGTCAGGTGCTCCTTGCTGAGATTCACACTGATGGACCTCGGTTTCTGGCGTGGCCTTTTAAGGCAACTGTAAACACAGCATCTGTGGATTGTTTGCTGAATCTATATAGGTGGCCCCAGAGGCGCTGAGGCTTGGGCTAAGTTTGGCCTGCAGCTGAACCCCTCTCAGGACTGTGCCACTGGACACCTACTTCACAAATCCACACTAATAAGACTGGGAGACTTAGGAACTTCGCTTAGTACATAGAAACAGACATGGAAAGGCAGCCAAAATGGGAAGGCAAAGAAGCAGAAGCCATATGAGAGAACAGAACAGAGATCCAGATATAATGTAGTCAAGTAACCTAACAGATGCAGAGTTTAAAACACTGGTTATAAATGAAGATGCTCAATGAACTTTCAGGAAGTGTAGATAAATTCAGTGAGAATTTCAACAAAGAGATAAAAAGCATAAAAATGGAAATGGAAATTATAAAAGGGAGCAAGTTTAAATTAAAGAACATATCTGAGACGAGAAGTGTATTAAATGGAATAAACGATGGAATAAACAAAGTGAATAAAGAGGAGGATCAAATGCCCTATCTAGAGGACAGGAAAGCCAATCAGGACACGCAATCAGAATGGCAAGAAAAAAGATGCCAAGACTATAAAAATAATTTAAGGAAGATATGAGACACTATTAAGGCTCCAAATATTCGTCTGATCAGCGTAATTGAAGAAAATCAAGATGTTGAACAGCCGTTTGAAGAAATAATGATGGAAAATTTCCCTAACCTGGTGAAGGAAATGGATGTAAAACTCCAAGAAGCTCAGAGAATTCCAAAAATCAGGGATCCAAAGAGACATCATAATTAAAATGCCAAAGGTTAAATACAAAGAAAGAATATTAAAAGCAGCAAGAGAAAAAGAGTTACTTCTAAGGGAACACCCATAAGACTAGCAGCTGATTCTCAAAAGAAACCATGCAGGACAGAAGGGCTTGGCAAAAAATATTCGACAGGATGAAGACCCAGGATATACAACCAAGAATAATTTATCCAGCAAAGCTATCATTTGGAGATGAAGGACAGATAAAGAGCTTCCTAGATAAAAATAAGCTAAAGGAATTTATTACCATCAAGCAAGCAGAATGGTAGCAACTACATTCCTATCAATAAGTACTTTAAATGAAAAAGAATTAAATGCTCCAACCAAAAGATAGAGTGGCTGAAAGGATAAGAAAATAATGAAAAGGAAGGGGATGGAAAAGGATATTGCTTTGATGGACCTAGAAGGTATTTAAGTCAGACAGAGAAAGATAAACACTATATGATTTCACTTACATGTGGAATCTAAGGAATAAAAATAACTAATCAAAAACAGACTCACAAATATAGTGGATAATTTGGTGTCGGACAGAGGGGAGGGGGGTTTGAGGGGTTGAAAGAATGGGGTGAAGGGTTAAAGTAGTACAAATTAGTAGCTGATGGATGGTCAGGGGGATGGGGAGCACAGCATAGGGAATGTAGTTAGCATTAACATGTTGGCTAGGTGGAGGGTCAGGGGAAAAAGGGAACATTTGGGGGAATCGTTTTATGAACTATATAGATGTCTAACCAATGTGCTGTGTATACTTGAAACTAAATTTTTAAAAATTAGAAGATGAAAATGGAATCAAGTGAAAATTAATCAAATTACAAATTGTACTGTAAGATTTCAGTAAAAATGCAGATTCACAGAGAAAAATATCTTATAGAGAGGTGTTACTATTAGTAAGTTCTGGGTGTTGGAGTATGGTGTTACATGTAATTTTCTATTATATACACATCCTACTTTTGTAATAACAAAAGATGATTTTGAATTAAAAGGATTTTAGATTAAGAAGTTATGTCTTTTATGTTCAAATGGGAATTATTGTTTCCTTTAAATTAGGTAACTTGGGCAGATTTCTACTGGGAAATTTGCAGTACTACACTTTTAGTCTTTAAACCTGACTTGCTGGACATCCATCCCAGGCTGGTGACATTACGGAAGAAAGTCCAAGCGATTCCTGCCATTGCTGACTGGATACAACGAAGGCCCCAAACCAAACTCTAGGTGAGGCCTGCTGCCTCGACTTTGTTCTTCACAGCATTGCTCCCATCAGATAAGAAGCCACACATCAGCATGCCATAGTATACATACTACCCTCATTTGCTCCATTAAGACTTTCGCTTTTGCCATATTCTGCTGAAAGGAAGGAAGGAAAGAAGTGAGGGAGGGAGGGAGGAAGGAAGGAAGGAGGGAGGTAGGGAGTGAGGGAGTGAGGGAGTGAGGGAAGGAGGGAAGGAGGGAAGGAAGGAAATAAAGGAAGAAAAAAGCATTTAGTTGCTGGTATCTTTTTTTATCAACTGCAGAAAAATATTTTACAATACAAGCAGGCTTTGTTTTGCACTGGTTATGACATGCATAAATTTCAGTCACAATAGTTTATTAAGTAACACATTTTCCTCCAAAATGGTTTGGACTTCAGTTACCATGGTGTATTAACTGTAATTGTATAAAGTATAAACTTTGCTGCTAGCTATTCAGTCCACAAATCACTAAGTAAATAAGGTGCACAGCATGACCAATGACCAATGCAACTTCTTTCAAAATGTTAGTGATTGGTTACTGCACATTTGTTATTCACACACATACACACATAAGTGAAGTGTGTAGTGGCATTGCCTACTTGTTTCTCAGTGACAAACCCACTTGATATTGTATGAAAATGGGTAACTGAAAAAGGGAATGTACTAGCAAAGATTTAAGTGCAACAAAGAAATGAAAAGTGAAATGCTGAAGTGAAATTCAAATTGAACAAAAATGGAAAGAGCTGACTGAGAATGTTGATATTGCTGCGGTTTAAAAGGCTCTAGAAGAACCTAGTGAAGGCAAACTTATCAACATAAATGAGGAAGGTGGTTGTGACAAATTAGATGAAGATATCCCAGAGGCAATGAGGCTGGAGTAAAACTTCATATTAAAGGAGATAAAAAAATGAGAAGAAAAGCCATAGACTAGGAGAAAATATTTGCAAAAGACCTACTGATAAAGGACTATTATTCAAAATATACAAAGAGCTCTTAAAATTCAACAAAATAAAAAACCTGATTACAAAAATGAACAAAAGAACTGAGTGGATAGCTCATCAAAGATATACAGATGGCAAATAAGCATATAAAGATGCTCAATGTCATTATGTCATTAGGGATTTTCAAATAAATACAATGAGATACCATTACATACCTATTTAAAACATCAATACCAAATGTTGGCATAGATGTAGAGCAACAGGACCTTTATTCATTGCGGATAGAAATACAAAATGGTAGACACCTTGGAAGAGAGCTTGGCAGTTTAGAAAACTAAATATGCTCTTACCATATGATCCAGCAATCACTTTGGTATTTACTCAATGGAGTTGGAAACATGTCCACACAAAAAGCTGCACATGGGTAGTTGTGGCAGCTTTACTGAGAATTTCCAAAGTTGGAAGCAACCAAGATGCCCTTAAAACAGTGAGTGGATAAGTAAACTGTGGTGCATCCAAACAAGACTGTTAACCAGCACTAAAAAGCAATGATGTAAGGTAGACGGGCGGGGAAGGATTTAAATCATTTCTTCAAATAAACAAATAAAATAACATAAAATTAAATTAAAAAGCAATGATCTAGCAAGCCATGAAGAAACACAGGAGAAACAAATGCATATTACTAAGTGAAAGGAAGCCAAGCTGCATACTATACGATTCCAGCCACTTAACATGCTGGAAAAGGCAAAACTATGAAAACAGTAAAAGATCAGTGGTTGCCAGGGACTAAGGGGGAGAGACAGATGAATAGGTGTAGAGGATTTTTAAGGCAGTAAAACTGTTCTGTATATTATATTGCTGTATTCATTTGTAAAACCCATCAAATGTACACCACCACCAATGGACCCTAATGTAAGCAATGGACTTTGGGTGATTCTGTGCCAATGTAGGTTCATGTACTGTAACAAATGTAACATTGTGGAGTGGGACCTTGATAGTGGGAAAGGCTGTGCATATATGGGGGCGGGGTACATGGGCACTCTGCACTTTCTGCTCCATTTTGCTATAAACCTAAAATTCCTCTAAAAAATAAGTCTATTAAAAGAGAAATTTTTAATCACTTTCCCCAAAGACTGTTTTGCAAATTTCAACCTGCAGTCATCTTTATGGCCCCACACTACCACAGAAAGTAAAAATTGCCTGTATAAAAAAATCACTTAAACGGAAATCTTTCAAATAACTGTATAACTACCCTTACCTCATTTTAAACCATAACTGTATTATTAGAATATCAAATGCCAGTTCAATTTACATGTTAACATTAATACTGGATTGTCTAACTCAGGATGTCATTATATATGGAAACAGACTAATGAAATAGATGTCCTTACACTTGAAATGCAAGGCAGAGGAAAGAAACAGTTGAGCAGACAAAAACAGGGAGAGAGTGTAGGGCAGGAAGAAAGCAAAGGAAAAGGAAAGCCCAGATAAGTCTCTTATTTAAGGTGCTTCTTTTCTCCCAAAAATGTTCTATGAAATGGAGACAAAAATGTGAAATACTTTATACATTAAGGATTACGCAGGAAAAACAAAGGGTATTTCACAAGTATTTTGCTTCTCTGCATAATATTTTATCATTAGTGGCTATTAATAAATGATAATAGGTTAAAAGTGAATCTCATTGCAAAGTACTCTGTCATCAAGGCAGACTACAGAAAATAAGTATCTTTCACAAATATTCAAATAATGCTCTAAATAATAAAGGTAATGACTTTTCTTCCATCTTATGCGTGTTCATTTCCTTGCACACTTATATTCTGACAAGCTTTAATAAAAATAAAATACAATGCTTATCTAAAATTATGAAAATTCAAAATAAGATAATCAGTCTGTTATTTACAAAAATCATAACTCAAATACAAAACACAGCAGGTTTCATAAGGAAATATTTCAATTCAATCATAGGATTAACATAACCTTTAGGTCATCTTTTTGCACTGAACGACAATGTATTCCATCATCCTATCCTGTACCCAAATTAAATGTCTCCTTACTGAGCAATTGAGAGAATATGAATGAATCAGAACAGTAACTGAATTGCATATTATATTTATAATCAGAAAAAAACACACATTTTTGGGAAGAACAAGAGTTAAAACAATCCATTCCTTAATTTTATGGACCATTTAAATGTCTTAAGGTCACACAAATGGAAACCAAATCTCCTGATACTCCTATCTAACTACTTATACAATAACACCAACAACTAGGAACAATATTAATGTTTCAATATAAATATCATACAGGCATAAAGTTATAAGTTCATGGGGTCAGGAATACAGTTATGAAAACACGTAAGGCCTATGTCTTCTATTTCTGTGTGACTTGCACTAAAAAAGTAAAAGTTGCTTCAGTTGGTCAAGATATTATCCCAACAACTATGGCTTCATATGCTCTCTTCACTAATAACGGGTTATGATGACATCAGTCCAATGAAGGGACTAATAACAGATCCTAAGTAACAAACTCTAGTTTATAGAGAAACAGACAATATTAAACACATAATATGGTTTCATTTGTGTTCAATACAAATGAAACCATATTATGTGTTCAATATTAAACATAATATGGTTTCATTTGTGTTCAATACTTTTTAAGGGTAAAGCAAGAGTTAGAAACTATTAAAAAGGGTGTGAAAATAGAACTTATGATCACAAATATTTTTATTAAGCCCAAGACATAATAAAGCATTACAGGGAGAGCCCAACTATATTTTGTTAGAGATAAAAATACGGATTTAACAGCAACAAAAGAAATAGCCTATCATTGAAGATACATTAATACAAAAAAGTTACAAGAAATCTATTATAAGATTTTAAAAAGGAATATTCCCAACAATTTGACCAAATGATTTGGGTACTGTGATACAGGTGGAGGTAGAATTACTATCTGCAGATTCCTTTTAGCCCTGTTATACTAAAATATATGGAATATGTTCAATATACCTTCAAGATTGGGTAAATCTACTGAGTCATGAGTTTTCAGAGTCTATAATATCTGAAGAATCACTATACGAGTTACATAAACCTTCTAATTCCAGATGATTGTATTACCTTAGCATCTTAGCAAGTCAGGATGCCTTGAAAGGATAATCTCCAATAATTAACAAAGCTTTGCTTTATAAATAAGTTTATTTATAATGATATTTACATAATAAAAACAAAACACATGAAACTCACAAGTTATACAAAGAAACTGATGCATAATAAAAACAGCAATATAGACCGACAGGCAAAAATTTAAAGAAAGATTTAATAAAGAGTTAAATATCAAGTAGACAACTTTACTTCTTCTAAATTTTACTTTGTCACCCACACTGAATTAGAATTGAACAATGGCTCTCTCTTCAGGAGGTCCTGTACTGGAAATTCTGGAAACTGGTAACTCATATTTTGATAAGAATATAAAGTCAATGACCTATTTCTACGCAGCACCTAATGCTACCTTAATATGAAGTTACATTCAGTCTGCTTTGGAGTGAAAGTGCCTGTTAATCTGTTCTGCCAGGCTAGAAAAAATGTCACCAACATTTCACTGATGTGTGGAGATGTGGCAGGAATAAACTACTATTTAGAGAGTAAAGAGAACTGGAGCAGAAGTGACTGGGCAACAGTTTCGAGAGAAGCAAAAGCCAGGAGAAGAAAATCAATGAAAACATGCACAAGAATAAGCAGAGTAATAAGCACAAGGAGTGCAGGTGGGAAATGAACAGAAGGAAGTAATCCATGGAGCAAGATAAGGGCATCTTTAGTTCTATTCACTGGAAAACAACTTAGTGCCTAGCCAAACAAATTCGTTTTAACAGAAGAACTTGGGAGTACCTGGGGACATTAGTATATGGAATGCCACCTTTAAATTCAGGTTGAGTTCTTGCTGGCAGTGGTGAACATCTGCTTCAAATAGCAACAAAATGAAAGCTATATAATCTATACAGCTGCATTCTTTAAACTAACATAATAAAAAAGAACTTCAAATGAGACAAGCAAAAACAAGACACAAGCATTGTCAAATAAGGCACATGTAAAAATCTACACACGTTATCCAGTGAAAGACAATATATATATATTTGGAGGTAGAAATAATTACAAAAATACTGACATTTCTAAAGCATTAGCA